GAAGGAAACTGTCCAAAAGAGCTGTATGGTGCTTCAGGACGACAAATGTTTAAAGAATGTTCATGAGTATCGGAATAAGGCTGCTTTCAGAATGGTGATCTTCAGGTCCATTGTTACACTCCGATACTTTCATGTGTCGCAAACTTTGCCATAAATCGCTGACGCTGGTCCGACCCAATCCGATCCACTTCGTCCATCATAATATCGCTCCGTACTAGCCATTGGTTGTCGTTCACGACTGGCGTTTTCATAATCTTCCTCCTTTTGGCTTTCATTGTAACCTCACTTTGATGGCGGTATTTCACACGCTTTCGTTGATCGTCAACAGATCACCTCTAACGACAGTCCATCGTGTAGCATCTCGGCCATGTAGGTGTACTGCAGTTCGAGCGTATAAAACTCTCCACCACCACAATGCAGAATATTTTTCATTCAATATCTCTTAAGCTTGGTACTGATTCACTTCGTACAGTTCTTGCCGGACTGCTTAGTTGTTGCATGTTTGAAAAAGTCATATTAGAGTTATAGAAGGAAAAGAAAAATAAAGGTTCATCACCTTTGGAATGTCTGTCTTCCTCACATTTGATAATTTTGTCAATTCTAGCCTCGACAGCAACGATGTGGCAAGCATAGACTGCGTTCTCCTGTTTCCTTCCCACTAATTTATCACAATGGTACTCGTTTATCAACCTTGGAAGGAAAGTAGCGGATGACCCCGAATAGTGCTTGATCCACAGACCTCACAATTCTGAGTTCAGACCTTCGTCTGACAGAGTAACTCCAGTGTGAATCAACGTGTGGTAAATTTTTGAGCAAAGGGAATTCGTGACAAAAATTAAGACAAAAATTGTCCTCCGCGACAACTGAACCCCTGCATCTCCAGAGTTTGAGTTTGAAGCCGATTTTTACGCATTGTTCCACCACGCTTCCCTCCAAACTTATGCTAAACTCTGCGGGTCGTATTAATTTCCAAACCAAAAATGTTGAACACTGTAACAGCGTGACGACAAATTGTCGTAGCGTCAATCGGTTTCAAATACCTTGAAAAATTCATTCTATTCCACCCCCCTCTCATCGTTTGGTACGTATGAGGTTGACCCTTGGCAGATGTGGACATAGGGTGACCGATGCGCTGGCTGTGATAATCAACACCACTGCGAGTAACTTGAACATAGGGAAGCAGCTGGTAGAAGTGCTTACCTTAATTGAGGCTCTGCCTACAACCTCATGCCGGTAGCC